AAAAAAAAAAAAAAAAAAAAATAAGGGTAGGAAAGTCTCTAGTGTCCAATATCAGTATACCAGGATATCATTTCATTTCTCAACCTAGTAATACAGAAGCTGGAGGTGTGGGTTTCTATATTAGAAATAACTGTGAATTTCATGACCGTAGTGATTTGACAATATCTACAGATGAGTTTGAATTTTTGTCTATTGAAATTCACAGGAAGTCACAAAGTAATATAATTTGCTCAGTTATCTATAGACATCCAAATAGTAATCTTGATAGTTTTTGTCATTATCTGACTAAGGTGATAGACAAACTCCCTAATGAAAGAAAATATTGTATTTTGATGGGTGATTTTAATATCAACTTATTGAATTATGAATCCCATAATCCAACTGAGGAATTTATAAATAATATGTCAGTTTATTGTTTTCAACCACATATTCTGCAACCTACTAGGATTACTGATCACACTGCTATTTTAATTGATAATATTTATTTTAATTCACTTGAGCATCATTGTGTCAGTGGAAATATTTTGAGTGATATATGTCATATATCAGATCGTCTTCCAAATTTTCTTATAATTAGCAAATTTAATACCAAGTCTACAGCTAAAAATATGTATCATAGAGATTACTCTAATTTCAAAGAGGCAGAATTTGTGGAAGAGGTTAGGTCAATTAGCTGGGAACACAAGTAGAAGATGTGAATCTTATTTTTTATTCTTTTTACAATAAAATTTCAGAAATTATTGATAAACATGTTCCTATGAAAAAATTGTCCAAAAAACAAAAGTGCTTACTTGTTAAACCATGGATAACAAAAGGGCTTAAGGTATCTATTGCGAAAAAGAATAAATTATATAAATGAATATTTTCACTTGAAATACAAATTATACAGAAATAAATTGAAACATTTATTAAATATAAGCAAAAAATCCTATTATAATAATTATTTTCATATTAATAATGGAAATATGAAAAATATTTGGAAGGGTATAAAAGAATTAGTTACTCTTAAACAATCATCTGTAACTAGCCCATCAACTATAGAAGTAGACAATACTAAAATAACAAATTCAAAACAAATTGCAAATGCTTTTAATGAATATTTTTCAACTGTTGGATCTGATATTGCTAATACTATACCCACAGTAAATAATTCATTTCAACAATATTTAAACAAACCGATTCGTCATAGTTTTATGCTTTATCCAATGTCACCCCTTGAAATTGAAGAAGAAATAAGTAAGCTCAACAATTCAAAGTTAGCTGCTCCCTTTAGCATTCCAACTAAATTATTTAAAATGATCAAATCAATATTGTCTGTACCTCTTGCCTATCTTTTTAATTGCTCATTCTCATGTGGAACTGTCCCTGACAAACTGAAGTTGGCCAGGGTAGTTCCTATATATAAAAATGGACCAACATTCCATGTATCAAATTATCGCCCTATATCTTTATCATCAATATTTAACAAAATTTTAGAAAAATTAATGTATAAGAGACTAATAGATTTTCTTGAGAATAATAAATTGTTATTTCATGGACAATTTGGATTTCGGTCAAATCATTCTACTAATCATGCACTATTGCTAATTGCTGATAAAATCCAAAGGGCTATTGAAAACAAAGAATATGCTGCCAATATATTCCTCAGTGAAAGTTTTAGAACCAATAGCAGCCCCAAGATGTCATTTCCCATGGGTCATTATGCGTACATCTGTGCCCGCGAATGTGTCTTTGGCCACGTTCTCAAATTCTGGCTTCACCACAAGGTACGTCTTGGAATCATTAGGGTAATATCCAAACGAGGGACCGTGATCAGTCAGTTCATCCCACCACTTTCTGAGTCCTGTGCAGGTAGACGCTCCTGTGGCATCATCAGCATACCATGCTTGGTGTACATCAGGACAACCAGCTTTCAGCTTATCAATCAGTGGCTTTATCGCGAGTGCATACATCGCCATTGCTAACGGATCTCCTTGGGTTGTTCCTTCAGTTGATGCAATTTCACCGTCAACTGTTACGTACATTCTGACTGGGGTTCTGTAGGTTTTGGTCAGGGTGGTCGCCAATGATGGACAGATTATGCTGATGTTATGGAGGACTGCTTGGCGGTTAAGTGAGTTGAACACATTGTTTGCATCAACCAGAAGTACCGCTTCGGTGTCGGGTGTTTGGTAAATGCTTCGCATGGCATGTACCGCTGCTTCACAACTTCCATCTTGACCTGCACAGAGTTGAAATGGACCAGCTGCGTCTACTACATCACTGCCAATGACTCTTAGAATGGCTTTCGCAATAATTCTTCGTGGAACCTCGCCGACTCCAGTTGGTCTTACGCCTGGGTACTTGTCAAGCGGGATTAAACGGCATGTGACAAATGCACTCAGTCCTTCTGGATTGACATTTGTAGTAGCAATGCGACGACCAATATCAGCCAGTGCGATGCACAGACTGTTCGAGGCAGACTTGAATGACAAGCAGAGTCTTCTCCATGCATATGCATCCACACCGGAGGGGCCAGCTGCGCCATGAGTGTGTAGAGCAGCCATCGAATGTGATAGGGTTAACTGTCTCTGGTTCGCCATCAATAAGAGAGGAAGCAACTGGATCTTTGCCTATAGGGTGCTTCTTTTTCAGGATTTCTCTTGTTGTTTGTTGGATTGACTTGCCTCTTTTGTAGTTACGGGAATGAGGGACTTAATCAAATTGTGAAATTCAGTTATCCTTGTACTTGTGCACGGCAACAGAAAAAAGCTTTATTATGCGCGCAATATTTTACTGTGGCCTGTTTGAAATCTCAATGTTTTGACTTTTGCGTTTGTAATATACAGTATATATTTCATATTAGATTGCATTTGTAAATTTAACACTTATAGTCTTATATATAGCATTTGATTTGCTTTCGACTTAAATTAAAAATGTTATAAAAAATGCAACCCCTAACAATCCATGGGCGAAACATATAAAATGGGACAAAAAATTTATTCCATGCGATAATACAACCCATGTTATTGTGTTAAAAATGTCAAATCAATGTTTACGCCCAATTGTTGCATTTCATGCTATTTACATATAGATACTCAGATTGTTTATTCCTTCATTGGAAACGAAACAATACATTTTCCCCGACGGATTGTTAAAGATTGATTTTTTGATAATACATTTTGAATTTTTTGTTGAAAGGATTATTGAAATTGGATTATTTTGTTGAAACCTTGTGCTTCTCCTGTTGTTGCCATATGATGATCTTTAAACAAGTCCCAATTACTCATGCCAAATTCGGACCGATAAATCGTGAAAAGAGTTGCTCTGCTGTAAACATTGGTGCTTTTCAAGGTTTCTTCAATTCTTGGATGTTGTATGTAGTAATCAGCATTGTTAACAAGCTCTAGGGCAGTTAAAAGGCGAAGATAGCAAAAAAGATACTCATGACCAGCCAACAAACATGAAGCCGAGTTACATAAACAATCGCCATTTCCTGTCGATTTGTACGCAATGAAATCTGTTGGTTTACTGTCTTTTCTTGACTTCACGTCAATAATATCTTCAGGAACTAGTGCCTGTCCAAAATTATCCCTCTGAAGACACTTTTCATCTGCATCAACTAGACTTGTTTGTTAATTATAGCAGAGACGCGGGCATATTTTGACGTGTAAGATTTCACTAGCAAATCGGCTTTATTTTCTTTAAAAAACTGTCAAAGATTGTTCAAGTCAGCTTCAGCTTCATCGAATGACACATCCATCACATCTATTTTACAACTCAAAAGGGAAAATGCTCACATTTTTCTCCTCAGTGAGAGAATAATGAATATTTATACTTAGTACTTTAAGCTATTTGCATTCAAGCACAAACTGCAAACATTTTCGCGCATTTTTTTTTTACGTTTGAAACGGGGCATTTACCGTTGGAAACGGAAATATATTTCACTGCTAATGTGACGTGTTACAGTGCAAAGCCTTCAGTTATTTTTGGCGCAACTGTCATGTTTCGATGTGCCTTTGTGCACGTTTCACTTCAGTATTTCCAAGATCATAATTTTGTAAGAGCGACCAAACTTGTTTACAATAAAAATTACACTACGGCCAAAAATTGCCGTCGTTGCCACAATGATCCACGACATTTTGTTCTCCCTCTACGGCAATTGCCGCGATAAAATTCGAGCCCTGCCATGAACTCGAAATGCATTTTAACCTTTTAAATTTCATGTGCAAGCTATATTTAATGCCTCTAAAAAAGACCCCCCCCCCTGCTCTGTATAATTTATCTTTACAAACATTTTTTGGTTATTCTACAGGGTGTATAAAAAAAGGCTAGTCTTTGAAATTCAAATTAGTCATATTGTATTGAATTTATAATTACTGCTAATCAATTAACGAGCCGTAAAACAAAAGATTTTCTACTTATGGGACCTGGCTGAAAAATTCAAATTATCGTGTAAATTATGTTGTTAACGGTACAGAACTTCAGGAGGATAAAATGGTTCAATTGACGACAGAACAAATATTTATTGTTTTGCATTACAACACGACCCACAGTTTAGTTTCAGTGCAGAACGCATTTTGGGAACGATTTCCAGACCGTAATCCTCCAGCACACACAACAATCACAGAACAAGTCTCAACCGAAACAAAACAAATTCTGGCCGGCCAAAAACACTGCATTCTGAAGTTAATATTGAAGCAGTAAGGCGTCTGCTGGAGCAAGATCCAGGAGTTAGTGCTGGTTGAAATCCTCTTGGTATAACATCAGCCAGCTTCAATCGCATTACGAGGCTTGACCTTCAATGGCACCCCTTTCGAATGCACGTAAGGCATGAGTTGCTGCCAAACGATTATCAGAGGCAATCAAATTTTTCCCAATGGTTTAACCAATAATGTGAAAAACCACATTTTTTGGGAAACTTGGCGATTGGTGATGAGGCTACATTCTCAATTAATGGTGTGGTAAATTCTCAAAATGTACGGCATTATGCCCCAAAAGGAAATGAGCCAGTATTTAATTTCAACAGAAAAGATTCTCATGCGAAGCTAACTGTTTGGAGAGCAGTGTGCGGAAACGGTGTCTTGTTGGGTCCCTATTTCTTTGAGGGAAATGTCGACGGCGATGCGTACACAGGACGAAATTTGATATTTAAGTGAACTGAAATCAACCTTAATGTTACACAACTGGAACATTTCTGGTGTCTTTTAGGGCATCATTAAAGTTATAGAATGAACTTTTACTGATAATTTAATTCTGCACTTAAAGCAAAGTATTGACGCATTTCAGGTCTTCCTGAAAGGTCTCTTAAATTTCATAAAATCAGAATTTCCTGGAGCTTTAATGTTGAACTTTAAATGTTTGGAAATGCATGTTTAGGCTTCCTTAAAACGACCTTAAAGGTACATTAAATCTACTCTCTGTCTTTAAGAAGGCTTTAATGTCTAACATTTTTAACGAAAGATTGACTTCAAGGTACAAATAGTGCCACTATAGGTTGCAATTAATACAGATATAGGTTTTCTACCACTGCTAAAAACCTATAAAAACTGGTCGTATTCTAACTACTGATCTAGCTATAAGACACCAGTATGAGAAAAAATCCATTTGGAATGTATTCATATAATTATATATATAAGATGTTAATCAACTGGCATCAATGTCTTTTCTTGGAAATCTTTTAAATTATCAAATTTTCTGTCGAATATATCAATCTAAATTATAATGTTAGCCGTTTTATATACTCGCCTATTTATATACTCGCCTATTTATATTATTTGGAACAACTCTTATTTAAATATTGAAGCTAATTTTGAAGACTTGATACAACAGATATAGTGAACAGAGACAAAGTTAAATACGAAGAGCTATAAGAATTAAACCATCCCGCGGCCACCGTTTTTTGTAGCTATATATATAATTGGACGCCAAACATTAGTTAACAAAACAATATAATTTTATACAGTCATAAAGGTTTTAATCTATATTCAATATACCATTCCGTGCGCAAGCGATAACTATATATTCGTATACATGGATGCATTATATGTAACACAACTATTATAAAATAGAGTGGGAATTATTCATGCATTAAAAACGGACTTCACAATTAAATGGGAAACGTCTCATTCAGTGGAGGAAATTGCCCAATCGGGGAGGTCCTTTGGGGGCAACATAGGTGATTCCTCTTCGTGGTCTGTTCGTGGGAGAGCTCTGTCCCGTGCCCTTTGAGTCTGGCTTTCTGCCATTGCCTTGTCCAAATATTGTTTCACACTTGTGAATCTCCTGCTTTCCCACGACAGTCGCTTTATTTTATAACCAAGAATAATTGGTTTTCCATTTTCGTCCTCCTCCACACAGCTCTCTTCACTCGACATTGCCTCCTCGACCAATACTTCCGCAGCTCTTCCTCTTTTTTTCACGGTGATATCCACATTCTCTAATGCAAGAGTTCGTCTTGTCAGCTTCTGCAAAATAAAGCTTTGACGTTTATATTTAAAAAAGTACAAAAAAAGATCACCTTTTTATTTCACCAGTTCAATGACTATACTTACATCTCATTTTCGTCCTTGCCTTCTACAGTTCTGCTTGTGTTGCTCATATTTGCCGTCTGCTTTTTGTTTCATGACTTCATATTTAGAAACAAAATATCTCTTCAATGCAGCTGTGAAACCAGGAAAAAATACGAGACTTACAACATATACTAGCTAGTCACAGTCATAGATACATGTAGACACATATAAATGACACAAAGTCTTAGCTCATCTGTACTCTAGGTTGTGTGAATCAGCCTTTGCATGTAGTCTAGACCATAACAAAGGTTCTGTATTCAAATACATGTATTGTCATACAGCAGTAATTTTGTATGGGTAAATTCGATTTCTAAGAACTTCTTGTTTAGTGTTTAACAGCGAGTCAGTTCGCTCAATTCTTCAAACATTTCTTACAAATCCTTCAAAACTTATTTTATATGCGGCAGTTGCGGCTATGTGAAATTACTACTGTGACAAGAGAACCTTTGCTTTGCAGTTGGACTGGACTGTTGATTTCTATACAATGTTTTGCAGCTGACTTACTTAGTTTAATTTTGGGTGCCGATACCTGGTGAGAAATCGTTTGAGAGTCAACGGAAAGGCGCCTGCTTTTCAGTGACCTGCAGGAGAACATATAGGTAAAGACTTCATCTAACTCTTATAATATTATATCAAACCAAAATCCCAACTCCACTGAACCCCAAACTGACCCTGACACTACCCCTAACCCTCACAGACATCGCGGAGCTTTGCAGACATCGTGGCCCGCCAAGCAAATATTGCCGCAATGTCTGCAAAAACCATCAACTTTACTTATCTGTTATATTGTACTGTAGTTGTGACTTGTGACTTCATTTAACCATCTAACCCCATGGTAGAGGTATGGGTTAGTTTGGGGAGGTGTTGTGTTGGAGTTGGGGTTCTAGTTTGATATACAGTATTATAATTAGAGTTACAGAAGATGATGTCTATTTTTGTCTATACAATATTCTCCTAAGGACACTGATTAGACTTGCTCCAATCTATCTTTCGATTTCTTTTTGAAGAGATCACTGGAAAGCAGGTGCTTCCTTCCAGATTACTCGCCAGGTATGAGGAGTTATATAATTATATGATCGCCACCCCAAAAAATTAAAAGTAATTCAGGTACAAAACGTTGCATAGAAAATTGTAAAAATTTAATCAGTCCAGTCCAACTGCCCAGTCCAGTCCATGTTTTGTACTATGCCTTTGATTTGGCATTATACAGTATTTCCACTTGCTGTTGTCAAGCTGGTCTAAAGTAGAATTTGATTTCAATCTGTATTTGACATTTTTATTTAATTTGGTAAACAAGTAAAAATATATTGTGAATCAATTGAAAAATATACGGACGAGCAAAAATACTTTTTTGGTCGTCTGTATGGGCAACTTTAACTTTTGGTCAATTTTTGCTTTGAGACGTACAGTACACTTGACAAGTGCAATAGAATTTCACATCAGAAATGCAAATAAAACTATCGATCTTTCAAACCATTCCGGCGTGCTATTAACAAAGGCAAAAATCACAATTTATTTTTCCTAATTTTTTTAATAAAGAAATGGCGAACAGTGTTCTAAAGTACTGGGGCCGGTTGTTCGAAAGGCAGTTAGCAGTACCCATTGGATAGTGATTTTTTTAAAACCTTCGTAATTTTTTTGCAAAAACTGTACAGACGTTTTACCAATATTTGTCCACTTTTACGAAGGCTGAAAAGCGCTATCCTAAAATGTTTACCAATATTTGTCCACCTTTACGAAGGCTAAATAGCTAGCGCTATCCACCTTTTGAACAACTGGCCAAACACTAAAGCGTGTATCACAGATGTCATGTCAGCAACATTTAGTGCTGTTAGCCTGCGTTCCAATCCATTTCATTCATTGTGTATTCATAATTATTATACCTTCAATAGCAAGTCTTGACCATGGTGTTTTGTCCACCCCATGGAATTGCGCAGAAACTTCTGTCAATACTGTTTCCAATATTTTCTTGTTACTCTCAGAATTGAAACTACAAGTAGATAAATTATATCAAAACTAACGAAATATATGTACCGTATTGTACCAAGCGCCCTGTATTGTACTTATTACATGCAGATACAGACTTGTCAAAAGTAATCATGCCGTTTTCCACCTTCATGACTAATTGTGAACTATATACTGACGTGTATTACCAAAACCGCGGATCCTTCGTCCTCTTGTTTTTGTGTCAAAACATTCAGGAATGCAACTACATTCCTATGCTCTTTTCTGAAATGTGAAATTTCAGCTATTTCAGCATAGTTTCCTCTTCACGAATCAAATGTCACCACTCCCACAATGTCGATTTCAAAACGTTTAGGAAGCAAGGAATGCAGTCAAATTCCTGAATGTCTTGATGCAAAAGGAAAACTGCAAGTTGTTCGCTTTTTACAGCCTTAACAAAATTAAAAACACAATGGAAAAACTCCCAGAGGTTGTTTACATGTTAGAAAATATTTTCTTAAATTTATATGGTTAAAATATATATATTTTTGTAAAAATACTGCATGAAAATAACTGTTAAGAAGCTGTCCCTATAAGAACCGACCAATGACTCTCGGCTCAAAAAATGAAATTGTTCGTTACTTTCACAATGAAATGTATTTACCCCAAGAACAAACAAACACTATTTAGAATTTTGAATTTTTATTAATTTTTAAAATTTCAGCCATTTTTCGGTCCCGCGCCGTCACAGAGTAGATAAGACATACAGAGACGTAACTGACCGTTGTAAACACTGCGGAAGATTACGTTTTCATGTACCCACTTTTTTTCAGGCGACCGGGCGACTAATGATCAACTGCGCGTGCTCAGCAAGTTTAAAGTTAGTCGTCATCAGGTCGTCATCCAATCAAATGCATGCATCTAGTAACTTGCCGAGCATGCGCACAAAAAAGTGGGTACACTAGTTACGTCTCTGTATGTCTCTACTCTGTGGCGCCGTCGCGCAGAAAATCCTCTGCCTATATCAGGCATAAAAATTAGCCGAATCCAAATACATATAATTTTAAAAGTATTCAACCAAATTTTATGATTTTTTCACCCACCAACGTGAAAATTATTCTACTTTGAAACTTGTCTTGTTTTATGATGCTTTTACAGAACGATTACGACAAACTTTAGCGATATCAAGCACCAGGTCTAAATACGGCTTTGTACGCATATCAAATTCGACTTTAAATTTCTCAAAAGTGGCACCCTAACTGGATTCAGTGACTAATATGGTTAAAAAATGGCAGTTTGAAGTACCAATATCCATAATAAAACTTGTTACCAACCGCGATTTGAAGACTCGACAGCCTCTGAAATGTGATACAATTTGGCTATTTTGTTTAGCTTCTATTATAGCGGAGTTGAAACATCAGAGCTTCCAGTCAAATGTAAAATGCGCTGTTGGTACGCCGGTTTTTTACACAAGCTGTTAATATCATTGTAGTTAGCGATTTTTCTGTGTTCATGAACATCAAAAGTGGATTTAATTCGAAAAGATTTCGATCGATGTTGCGAGGTAAACGTGTACGCATTCGTATTAAAATTAGCTACTCAGGGAAAACCCGGAAATTATTGTCAATATTTCATCTAAACTCTGTATGTCTATTCTGCACGATAAGATAAGATAAGATAAGATCAGATAATTTATTTATACTCTTTCATTACATAGTGCGAATTTGAAAAACACAACAACAATTACAAATACAGAAATTAGAGTAAAGGCTACCTATAATAACTATATAAAAGCAAATAAATTTAGGTAGCACATGTGACTCTACTTGGAGACAAAACAAGACGGCAAATAAGAAATACAATAGAAAAAGAAAAAGACTTAGCTCACTAATACATCAAAACGTTATCATAGAAGACAAAAAACAGACGACACACACATAAATATAAAGTTATTTACATGGAAGTATAAATATTGTATCATCAAAGATGTCTACAAAACCAGATTCGTCAAAGGTACGATTGATGAAGTGATTTTTTTAATGACGCCTTAAATTTATATCTTTTTAAGGATTTTATTTCCATATCAATGGAATTCCAGACTACGCTGCCACGATAACGTATGTTGAACTTGCCATAATTTGTTCGAACTTTTGGAAGGTATAGTAGCTGTTTAGCATCGTATTGTAATTGTGCACCTCAGTAACATTTTGAAAGAAATTATCAAATATAGTTGGTAAATTGCCGTGTGAAAATCAAACATAAATAGAGCATTTTGATAATATATTAAGTCAGGAAACTTAAGTATGTTAAGGTGCTTAAAAAGTGGAGAGGTATGACTTTTGAAGCTAGAGAATGTTATCATTCTTACTACCTTTTTTTGTAATAAATTTAAAACATTTAGGTTGGATGCATATGTATTACCCCGTACCGTTAAAGCATATGTTAGATATGGATAAATCAATGTATAGTATAATTGTTGGAGTATTTCTGTGCCAACGAAGTAGCGAATTTTTGAAATAATACCAATACAGCGTTTAATTTTTTTTGCCAAATGTGAAATATGATATTTCCAGCTTAAGTTTGAATCGAGTAGAATTCCTAAATACTTAATATACTTTTCTTGTTTAATTCGATTATTTCTGATCAATAATGAAATCTCATAGTTGGGTATCCTCTGGGTTGGATGAAAAAGCACAAAATTTGTTTTATCAATATTTAGGGATAATTTATTAGCTGCCAGCCAATCAATGACTTTTTTCAGATTTTCATTTATTATTGATTCCAGGTTAACAAGGCTTGCATTAGCATAGAAAAGATTAGTATCATCTGCAAATATATTAAATTCAAAAGCCTTGCTACAATTATGAAAATCGTTAATATACAATAACCCGGACCAATAATAAGTGGACCAAGAACAGATCCTTGAGGAACCCCGCATGTAATTTCAGATTCATCAGATTGAATATTGCCTATTGAAACAAATTGACGTCTGTTACTTAAGTAAGAGGAAAACTAGTCATAGGGTATGCCTCTTATTCCATAGCGATATAATTTTTCAAGAAGGATTGCATGATTTACGGTATCA